AAAAAAAAAATGAATGAATGAATAAAGTGGATAAAAGGAAAACTGTTGTAGTCAAACAATTAAGCCAACCAAAGTGAATACTACTTCCACACATCGAATTTTTTTTGTATGCCATACATGCATACATAAATATGTATGTGTGTATGTATGTATTTACATATGCATGATTATGACGTCTCGTGATACGCCCCCATCGCTTATGTAGCTTGATTTGCAATTGCAAAATGAAATAGCGGAAGTAGAGCACACAAAAACAAAAAAATCACAAAAAAAAAGAAAGAACGCAGAATAAAAACGAGGAAAAAACAACAACGAAAAAGAGGCCACAGCTGCAACCACAAAAGTATGCATAGTTCAAGAAGTCATCGAGTGCTGGCACCTCTTCAAATGTTATTTACATATTAGCAAATAAAATTGATAGTTAACCGTACAGGTAAATTTATCTAGCAATTGTGCATGCACGTACATAGTATGTATGTGTGTAAGTAAGTATGTGTACACCACAATTCCTACAAATACATACATTAATATTAATGCTGCTCTGCTTTGTTATTTGCCTGAAAACTGCCTGCCTTTGAGTGCTGTTCGCACATTTACATACATACATACCCATAAGCACATACATACATAGAAGTATTTGTGGCATAATGACAACGTGAGGAGAAAACACAACAAAATATAAATTTGCTGCATTTTAAATAATTGCTTCATTATGCTGTTTAGACACACTGAGATTGCCTGTTAGAAGTTTCTGGTATTCTGAAATATTTCAGTAACCGTATGCGTTAGAGTAGACCAAAAATTTTGTTTTTCCATTCACCCCCCACATCTGAAGAACAACGACAATAATGAAATCGTTTTTAGAATTGCTATAAGATCACTAAAAATATAAATTTTTTGTTCGAATAAAAAGATCTCCCTTCAGAAATCTTTAAAAAATAAAATTGTGATGCGTATATAAATTAAAATTTTACTAACAAACATTTCAAAATAATTTTACAGTTAAATTTGCACCACCCAAATTCCTTTTTTTGCAAGATTTCTAAATTGAAATATTTTTATTCGATCAAAAAATAAAATTTTAATGACTTTTTTAGCAATTCTACAAAAAACTATTTCTCCTTATTTTCCATTTTCTATAATCCGGGAGGAGAGGCGGCAAGAAAATTCTTAAAAGTCGATTTTCTCTTTGAATCTAAGATTTCTATGCATTGGGTATTGGATGCATGTGCTTGTGTTTTTGCAAAAAATAAAAATTTATAATCACTCATACGCCTAGTGGCTACTACAATTGTTAGTGCAGAAAATCGAAGAGCGGAAGCGGAAATGTTGCTCATGTGGATTGTTGACAAAGCTTTTTGAGTTTGCTAATGGCATCCTCCAAAGAAATCGGAAATATTGCGGCCTTCATCGTAGATGTTTGAAAGTGTTTTATTTTCGTTACTAAATGCAAGAAATCATCTCGCAATAAAATTTTTTGTGAAAATCTCTCTTACTCAATCTAAAACAAATGTCTATAAGTAAATAGCTTACTATGACGAGCTTCCAACGAATTCTTTGGATTGCTAAACAGGAAGGGAAAACAAAGTTAGTCTATTGTTATTTTTTCTTTTCTTAATTAAATTTTTAGATTTCATTTTTTTAAAACATTTTTTTTAATAATATTTTAAATTTAGAAACTAGTACTTTTATATTTATATATGTTTTTCTTTTATTTTTTAGATTTTATCGCTTTAAAAAGAAAAATTTAATTAATTTTTATGAAATTATATAATTTTTAAGTTACTTATATGATTCTTAAAAGAAAAATACTTTTTTTTTCATATCACTTGATTTGTAGCAACTTACTTTATTTTCTTTAAATAATTTTCTTTTAATGTTCAGATTTTATTGTTTTAAAAAGACAAATGTCTTTTTTTTCTAGGCTTGCAATTGTAACTGTATAGCCAGAAGAAAATTTTTACCTAAGTAAGAGAAATAAAATGGTAAAACTATATCAAGAGGACAACGCTTTCATCAAT